TCCAGTGGAACATGTCGTAAGGTTCTGGGGGTGGATGACCCACGCTCACTGTGCTTTAAATGCCGTTTTGGTTCTAATGGGCATACCTCCGATCTGTGTCTGAAGATGGGCTGTTTATCCTCAGAATTATGGTCTTCCTTTGTTAATGAGGCTAAGGAAAAGAACAAACAGAGAGTGGCAGATAAGGCAGCGGCTTTGTCATCGCCAAGGGCTCAGTGCAGCCCCACCAATGCTTCCCTGGGGCGGTTTGTCGACAGGGTAGAGTTCCAACAAAGTCTCAATGACTTTGAAAAAGGCATGCAACATATGATGCGGAGTATGATGCAAGGTTTGGCCCAGGAGTTGGGCCCTTCAAAAGGAGTCACCCTCGTACTGTTTCCCGTTTGGGTGATGAGACCCCTCCCCTTGGCCAGTCGGCTTCTATTGAAGGTCAGGGTATGAGGCACATTCAGCCAGGGCGTCCCGTGGGGGGCTCCATTGGCTCTGAGTCTGTCGCTCCTAGAGGTTCTGAGTTGCAACGTGGGGGCAACCATGACAGCAACCTTACGCGTGATGACGGTGGCGATTCATTGTTACTTCATCCAAGGCCTGATGAACTGTTTGAGGACTCTGTGTCTCAGGTTTCCACTGGCAATTTTAAACGTGGTCCTAGGGCTGTACAAGAAGATGTATCGTCGCAAGATTCGGTTTGTCAAGTGGGGGTTGGCCCGCTTCATGGGGCTGACCGTGATTTGAAGGGATCTCTATCGGAGGTCGAGGGCCTCGATGTCAATGCAGAGTCTTTCTTTGAGGTAGTAAAGGAGGCAGCGCATTCCCTTCCAATAAAAAATGCCCACTTCGAGGAACGGGAAGACCCTGAGATTACATCAGCTCGTCATAAGAAATTGATTGAAAAATTGTGGGCTGAGAATCCAGAGCGTATTCCCCTGTATCGGGCATCTGCGATAACAAGGTACAAAATTCTAGAGGACTACAGGAAATATATGGTACCCTCCAGGCTAGACCCTCTCTTGGTCCATGAGATCAGCCGGGTGTATCCCGGGTTTCATGCTGAGGCTCCCAAGCTCCCTGATAAGACCTTGAATGTGACGGATCGCCGCTTCATCATAGAGAAGGAAGCTCACATTGGAATGGCTTGTGCTGTGTATCAATTTTGGCTTTTAGAAGCGGCCTCCAAGCAAAGTTCTAGGCTGGAGGGGTGCCTCCAGAATTTTCTTGACCAGCAGAGCTTGGAAGATCTGAAGGACCAGGTTGATATTGGTTCAGTTTCTCGGGCATTGGCTATGGCTCAGGAGGCCACTCTGGATATGCCAGACCTTCAGGTGAGGGAAGCGGTCAATGCCAAACTAGCCCGACGCACAATGTCGCTTCAGCAGACACGTTGGGACGATAATACCAAGTCAAAGCTCAGGAAGGCTCCCATTACTGGGGATGGTAATCTCTGTAGTAACAACCTCAAAGAAGTATTGGAGGAGTTCAGATAGCCAGCTCGATGGAACCGATGGCCTTCGTCGTGTTCCCCTTCATACTGCGATGTACCGGCATGCGTACAAGCCCAAGTCCACCAATGTCCTCCGTCGAAAATCTTCCTCCTCTCAGAGGGAATCCCCTAACCATGGTTTCCAAGGGGGTCCATCCAAGAGACCTCTGCTGGATGGGAGTAATTTCCGGAGCCCACAGGTCAACTTCCAAAGGGGTTGTCAGGAAAGAGGGCCTTTTTGGCGTAGTGCCCATGTTGGAGGTACCTCTTGCTTTAAACCACAGTAGGATAATGCGGGCCCTTCCTGCTCAACCAGAGAATCAGGTGGGGGTCGAATTCAAAAAGGGAGGATTTTTGGCAACACATTACAAGCGACCAATGGGTTCTCGAGATCGTGCGATCCGGTCATCTTTCCGAATTCCAGGAAATGCCTTATTTCAACGGAATCAAAAAACTTCCGTCGGCTCACTGGCAACAGGTTCTTCTGTTATGTTCGACGAGGTCGACGCCTTATTAGGCAAAAACGCCATCGAGCCTGTGCCTCAGATCAATAAAAACGAGGGGTTCTATTCAACATTTTTTTCTCAGGGTTAAGACCAATCCTCACCCTACGATCTCTGAGCGGGTCTATTAAGAAGCAGAAATTCACGATGGAATCCCTCCGGTCAATAGAGACAGCAGTAAATCCCTTCCATTGGCTTTGCGCAATAGATCTGAAGGATGCCTACATGCACGTTCCAGTGAGGGAATGTCACAGGAAGTTTTTGCGGTTCCATATCTTGGGGAAGACTTTTCAATTTTGGGTTCTTTCCTTTGGCCTCACGTCAGCACCGAGAGTGTTCACGAAAATCCTGGCACCTGTTGTGGCTAGGGCGAGAATGGAAGGGGCCCATGTGTTCCCATATTTAGACGATTTGTTGATAAGGGCTCCGAGCAAGGTTCTAGCTCAAGAAGGAGTCAACAAAATTTTTGTTCTGTTAGAAATTTGCGGTTTTTTGATCAACAAGGGGAAGTCCACTTTGACTCCCAGCCAGAATCTTGTATATATAGGCGGTTACTTCAAGACCAATCTGAATGTAGTTTGTCTTCCCCAGGAGAGGAAGGTAGAGTTGTTACAGTTTGTAAATCAGTTTATGGATCGGAGTCAGGCTGCCGCTCAGGAGTTCTTGCGGCTCCTTGGGATGATGGCAGCCTGTATAGAAGTAGTTTGGCTTGCCAGGCTTCACTTGAGGCCAATTCAGTTGTACCTGCTCCATTTTTGGCACCAAGCCTCGAGGACTCTGGAGGCTTTGATTCCAATCAATGACCATCTTCTTCATCACCTGCAGTGGTGGAGGGTAGAGAAGAATTTGCTGGGGGGTCCCCCTGAGGGGGGCTGCCTCAGAGATCACTCTGATGGTTGGGGAGCCCACGTGGAGAGTCAGTTTGTCCAGGGTCTGTGGTCGCAAATCGAAGTTCAATTCTGGCACATTAACATGAAGGAGTTAATGTCAATGATAAAAGCCTGTCACCAATTTTGCCCCCTTCTGAAAGGCAAACAGGTCCTAATAAAGTCAGACAATTCCACGGTGGTGTCCTATATAAACAACCAAGGGGGGAACAAGATTTCCCAGCCTTTGTATGGCGGTTTGGAGACTTTGGCTATGGTGTGCGCAGAATCAGATCGTCTTGTCTGCAATGCATATTCAAGGATCCCAGAACAACCTAGCCGACAAGCTGTCCAGGCAGACGTTGATGAATTCCGAATGGAACCTGTCTCGTTCGGTTGTGAAGTCTCTTTTCCGGAAAATGGGCGAGCCAGTGATCGACCTTTTTGCAACAGCCAGCAACAGACAGCTCCCAGTGCTAATTTGCTCGCGGGACCCGTGCAGCGAGGCATTTCACGTGGATGCCTTAACTCTGAATTGGGACGGGATGACAGCATATGCTTTTCCCCCATCGCACTGATTCATTTGGTTCTGGATCGCATAGAGCGTTACAAATGTGTGGCAATCCTCATAGAATTGGCCTCGGCGCTCATGGTTGCCGAGAATGTTAGACCTCCTAGTGGATGTTCCCATTCAGCTTCCAGCTCATCCCGATCTTCTGCAACAGTGGGAGGGCAGCGTATGCCATCCCAGACCGGAAGAGTTCCATCTCATGGCATTGAAACTGAACGCAGACTCCTCTGCCAGGCAGGCCCTTCAGAAGAGGTTATTAATTGACACAATCCAGAGTGACGTCAGCTCATCCACAAGAGAGGTGTATAATAGACAGTGTTAAGTGTTTCGAGATTGGTGTGCTTCACGGGGTACAGATCCATGCTAAGCATCTGTAGGGGTAATATGCACCTTCCTGCAGTCTTTGCTTGAGAATGAATTACCAATACCGGACGCTAGGTGTTTTCCGATCCTACATCTCAAAGTTCCATAATGGTCTTCGTGGAAGGCCTATTGGTCAGCATGGAACTATTTGCAGGTTTCTGAAAGAAGCCTTTCACAAGAACCCCCCCCCAGGTGTTACTTCCTGCGTGCAATTTGGATGTGGTTTTATAGGCTCTGCCGCGGACTCCTTTTGAACCCTTAGGAGAGACATCTTTGCAGTACTGTACCCTTAAGACTACTTTCCTGCTGGCTATCGCATCAGCGAAACGATGTTCCGAGCTTCAGGCTGCGTTTTGAAGCTGGTGGGTTAAGGGTATGTTTTGTTCCTGGTTTCCTCCCTAAGACTGCCACTCCACTCCATTTGGGCCAGGATATTTTCCTTCCAGAATTCGGAGATGCCAATTTAGGCCTTTTTGTTAAACAGGCTTTATCCATATCAGTTGAACATCCTCCCTGGTGGCTGTTGGGGAGCAGCACCTGTTTGTTGCTTTTGCTGGCAAGCAACGAGGGCACCCTGTGTCCAAGCGTACCATCTCAGGTTGGTTGGTAAAGGAAATTGAGGAAAGCTGCCGACTTGCTGGTATCCCTTTGACAAACTCAGTCCAAGCTCATTCTACTTGTGCCATGGCCACATCCTGGGCAGTGTTTAACAGAGCCTCTATTAATGATGTTATGAAAGCAGTAGACTGGAGAAGTTCGTCGACCTTTGCACGACACTATGGTCTTGACCTGTGGAAACGAGCTGAGGGCCATTTTGGCAGAACAGTTTTGCTTCATCAGGATTAGAAAGAACCGGTGAAAACCATATCTTTTTAGCGTTGTCTGTGTACAACGTTCTTTGGTTCAGGTTTTCCTCTTTTTTGTTTTTGTATACTGGGTGAGCAGGAGGAGTAGTTAATTTAGAGAGGCTGCCTCCCACCTCCTTATACTGCTTTGGGAATCTGTCCTATAAGTAATACATAAGTATACGAATGAGAAAGAATGTAAAATTTCGAAGAAATTATGATTCTTGAAGTATTCTAGAGTATACTTACTTCTGCCTCGCTCCCACCCTCCGTCCCGGCATCTCTACATTGATTTTTCTCCTTTGGTATGTTTTCAGATGCTGAAAGAAGCACTGATGCGCATGCGTGGAGAGATAGTGAAGGGACCTGGATGTGGACACGTGACAGAGCTGTTTTTTCATCTTTAAGCACGATGAGTGGGGGTTCGAGGAAATGTCCTATAAGTAATAAAGAGGCAGAAGTAAGTATACTCATTTCAAGAATCATTATTTCTTCGAAATTTTACATTTCTAAAGGTGCCAGGATCTGTAAATTCTTAATATGCATGGCTGTTATGAGGAAGTGTGGCCTTGTTTATGAGTGAAGTAATTACATGGCCACACTAGCTGACTACATGTAGTGGGTCTTTTCGGATGTAACTCGACCATTTACCATCTGGACTTGGGACAACTTGTATGCTGAGACAACTTAACAGATGGGACAGTTTTCCAAGTCGTCTGTAAAGACAACTCAACTGTTCAAGACTTGAATACGAGAGAGTTTGGGGCGTTCATCACAGATTGGTGTACATGTATGTGGTCAAATTTGCACGTTATATTATGTTATGATTTGACTCACTGGGCATGGCGTGCATTGGGACCTGGTGACTCAGCATGCACAGGACCTGTGGCGCGTAAATTTGTTTTGTTTTCAACGTGCAGACGGAGACAGAGGAAGAGGTGCTGAACAGGAAGTGATCCAAGAAAGCAGCCAAGAAGTACAAAGAGCGCAAGTAGACAGCCAAACTGAGCCAGATGCTTGAGGATCAGATCAGCACAGGGAGTCTGCTTGGTAAAGGAAAACTCCTCTCCCACTTCTTCCCACCCCTCCACCTTCCCCTGTCCTTTTCCCCACCGGTCTCCCTTTCTGAAATGAACTCAATAAACTTTGCCAGTTAAATGCGTCTAAGTCTCCAGAAATGAAATATTTGGCGTGCAACATTTTATGCACTTGGATATTTTCAAGCTCATGCATTTTAGCTTCAGATATGTAAAGTTGAAATGAAAACCCATTTAACTGGAACAGAATGTTGTAGTGGATTTCTCAGCACTATGCTGGACAAAGACTAACTGTGGCACAGTTAAGTGTTCTCTTCCCCCTACATTTTATGCATGGGGTTTTATATTCAGAGAATAAAACAGTTTTGAGTTCCATTGCAATCTCATGCCTTTTAATAGCCAGTTAGGGTTAGAATGAAAAAATGGAAGCACGACAGTGTTTTGGAAACTCTTTGGGGTAAGACTTTTTTGGCAGAATGATGTAAAGATTAGACTTTTGTAGTGATTGCCTGCCGTTCTGGCATTCAAGGTGGTCCCAGTGAAGACACGTCATAGTTACACTGACTGCCATAAAAACCCCAATCTAACAGTGACTAACAAGTCATCTACTAGCTGAGGTGTTTTGTGAATGCATACTCCAACATTTCTTGCCCCAAAATGAGACAGAATGACCTCTTTTTAATGAAAAAGGGCCGAAATGCTGAAGAAAAATTTTCTTTTCACCTGGACAGTGTGGACGAGCTGACGGTTACGTCCTGGAGGGCAAGGAACTCGATTTCTACCTCCGAAAGATCAAGTCCAAGAAGGGAAAGTAAGCAAGTAAACAACGGCATCACCAAGTAAACAGAAGAGACAGCAACATGACTTTGGATATGTACAAGGCCACCTGACCAAGTTTAATTCTAGATTCCAGTTTCATAACAGTTGCTTTCCATAACGGTTAGCATTGTTTTGTGAAGAAATAAAACACAGACCTCTATACAGATCAGTCTTCTGTGTGCTAAAATTGTTTTGGTGTTTAAGCTTTTTAAAAGTTGTCCCCACCCACCAAAAAAATGATTTCCAACTTCCCCCAAAAAGACTTAGTAATGACCCAGAAAGGTTGCATGAGGCCTGGTAATTTGGGCTTCATTTGAGTCTGCGACGCGTACGAAGCAAAAAAAAAACCTTTAATGCAAATTTCACATTGTGATGTGAAGTTCTGTTTGTTCTAACTAAACTAAAAAGTAAAACGAAAGACAATAAAAGAACTAAACAGAAAAAAGTAAGAATATTGATAGCAGCGTGTTTGCTTTTTATAAGCAGTATTTTTGATTAGCAATGTCCATTTATGATGATAAAAAATCAACTTTATATGTCAGCGAAAGCAGAGGTGTAAATGGGGTGAAATTTCTGAGGACACTAATGGGTGCACTTTTATTCAAAGAAGCCCAGAAATTCCCCTTCCCCCAGAATTGAAGTTGCCAGACGGAACATTTGGTGTCAACTGCTTGGCAAGCTGTACAGAGACTTCCGCTAAACGACCCCGAGACACTAGCAGTGTTGTAGTCGAGACCATCACGAGACCAGATGCAAGATCACGCATAAGTAACAGTTTGAACACAATGACAAATTACATGATTTTGTTGCAGTCCATTTAAATAGCTTTTGACTTGAATTCAGGCTGGAGGTATTGTGTTGGTTTTATGCTGGTCTTGTGAAGGTCTTAAGTTGTGTCAACTACAACACTGGACAATAGGTGTGGTGCTGTGTGTACATGTATGCACATGTACATTGTGTTGGTACTGAGGTGTGGCTTCAACAACAAAGGGGGATGGTTCTCATTTGCTTCTACAGCTTGCTGTAAGATGGCATAGAGATCAAGTCTGATGTGATGTCTGCTACTGAAGAACAACCTGTGAATAGGGAAAGATTTGTGTCTTGATCTGGTATCCACATAACTGATGTACATGTACAGCAAAACCTTGAACTATAGGTCAAATTGACTGGGGCTGACAGATTTTTTCCAACATCAACGAAAATCTGACTTGCACAAATCTGAGGTTTACTGAATATAGTTGCTTAGTTGATTGACTTCAAACTACATAGTTGTAATGATAAGGAGTGTCTATACATGCCTACCAAGGTTTTAAAAATTGGGAGTGGCACAGCAGCACTGGGGGGGGGGAATTGGGGAGGGGAATCCATCCCACCCGGCTGTGAGAGAGGCCAAAATAACTCGGCTCAGTTAGGGTTTATATGGTGTACATATTACATGTATTTTGCAATTTTAACTTTGTGGCGTCAAGACTGGACTGACTTTAAATGGTGACATGAAACATGGCTAGGACAAAACACCATCATTTGGAAGGGTAGTCAACTATTAGAAACCTTTTTTGAATTAATATTGACAAACTACAAGTACATTCTTAAGCAGTTACTGGAAATTCAAGACTAACAAAAGTTACCACTTAAAGCCATGGCGAGGCTGAATTCCTCTTTCAGAATCCCCAGAACTTTTTCCACTCCTTTCGCACCCTATATAAAATAACATTGAGACAAAATGTTAGTGTTTTACTCGAAATAAACATCCATGGAAGAGTTTATTGCTCAGGAAGATGCTTTCCAATGGCAATCTAGTACGATGTACTCCATTTCCTGAATCTGAGCATTCACACTCTGGTAAGTTTGTTTTTGATTAGCTGTTAAATGCGCTTCTGCTGAAAAGGGTGACATTTCCATGTCCTTGTTTTAGACCAGAGCTGCATCTTCTTTCTTCTGGAAATCTGAGGTACACGTAGGGGCATTACTTTTCTAAGACCACAATGAAGATTTTAATACGTACATCGTAAGCGAGGCCCCACAGTGCTGGTCGGCCGATGAAGACGGCTCGTGCACCCAAGGCAAGGGCTTTGAGGACATCGGTGCCTTTACGTACTCCTCCATCAAGATACACCTCCACACCGGAACCACGCACTGCATTGACGATCTCTGCCAAGACGTCGATCTGTTGGTGATATTAAATCAGCCCTCAAAATTCAGCTACAGGAGAACTGAAGTGTGACTCCACTTTGAACCAACGAATGGAGTACCGGCACTTGCTAGTTCATGCGCTGGTTCTTGCGCTACTGCGTTTGCACACACAACTCTGCACTTTATGTTTTCAGTTCAGTACTACATGTATAAAGAGGTGGGAAATGGAAAAGCCCAGATAATTTACTAAGCTGTCAGGTCTAGGTACACTGAGCAATATCCATGTATTTTGAAGTATCAATCTGCATCAAGAATCTGCCTATTACCAGCAGGAAATAAAATGTGTGACTACAGACGCTGGCAGTGGCTCGTGACTGCACCTACTTCATGTAGGCGTGTTATTCTGAGGCACCTACATGTAGCTGATTTGGACTTTACCGTAGCTGGTACCCCGTCCAGCTGTCGGCCACCGTGGTTAGACACTAGGATACCAGCTGCACCATGCCTCACAGCCTCCACTGCATCTTCAGCTGTAATACAGGAATTGAAGAAGGTGATGAAAAGAAAGTCTCACAAAATTAAAAGCAGCTCAATTTTAATGTACGTGTACAGAACTCCTTTACATGTACAGAACTCCTTCAAGCATTTCTAAACTAAAGAAGACCTAATGGTAGATTTGAGTCGCACTTTAAACAATTAAATGATTGGAATCCTGCCAGGAATCCCACAGGCCCTACAGTTCAGTGAACTGTAGGGCCTGTGGGATTTATTGGAAAACAGCCTTTCCTGACATGCCTGATGCTGTATATGTTCTTAATTAGGCCCATGTCCACCAAGACTCGCACAACATGCTCAATGAGCACAAATATCCTTAATCAGGGGAGTCACTAGATAGCCATTGCCAACAGTACATGGTATGTGTGAGGGTGCTACAACCTTTATTCAAATTAGATGAAAAGTTATTCGTGCAGGAATGAGTACCAGTATGTGGGATGTTCCACGTGTGAACACAGAGCTACTCTTCCTTCAGCACTGTCAGACTCATGCCAAGGCCCAGATCAACTCTACGAATAATTGATGATCAAAAGTTGTCTTTCTCACCTGTGAGTATACCCTTCAGCACGATTGGAAGTGATGTCAATTGTTTCAGCCACAGAATTTCGTTCCATGTTCGTGAATCGGAAAATGGTATCTGATCAACAATGTATCGCTCGCCAGGAAGCAGAATTTGAGGGAACCTTTCCAAGGAAGATTAACAAAAGTCACTAAGTTGTGTCTCTCAAAGGATTTGATTCTCAAGGTCAAGGCTCATGCTTTGACCCTCGAGCCTTAAGGCCAAGGCCCTCAAACTACTAATTATACAGCTTGTCACCCAAAGACAGGCATGCAACCTAAAAGAAACATTTACTTTCTCCTAAAAGAATTACTTGGGAAATTGTTGTTTTAGTATTGGGTTGAAATTTTAAATGTTACCTCTTCAAAACTGAAGACTTCATTTAAATACTACGATGCACTGTGGAGATGATCTCCATTACATAAGACAACTATTTTTGTATTACTGCCCAAGGAGATTACCAAATGTGGTAATCAAAACCCTATGTTTACTCCATTTAACACATTAAACCATTGAAAATGGCCGACAGAATGAGGATACTGAGCTACACAGAGTTCTGTTGTGTGTTAAAATCTCTTGTATTTACTATCAATGAACAAACTGTCTCCTGAAATACATGTATGGTTTGTAGTGGTTAATGTTTAATACAGAAGTAAATGAGATCACTTTGTTATTGACTGAAAATGCACAGTTTGAACTGAAGTTGTTTTCTTTCAAACAAACTCACTGCATAATTGATGAAACAACCAGTGTCATCTGAAATAAAAACTTACACATTCATCTGCCAGTTTCATCAAGTTTAGAATTAAAAAAATCCAAACAGTGAAGAACACAGTAATTAAAAGTAAATCTGAGTGGTAAGTTAGGATTTAAATTGAGTGATTGCATACACTTGCAAGACAAACTGTTTGAGCTTCCGTCGGATAGAGTTCTGCTACATAATTGAAAATGTCACTGCACTGCAGCATGAGCTTCAAATGAAATTTGTGGTATAAGTAGAAAACACTGTCAGCTTCAATTTGATACCACTTTTAACTACATGCATTACTTTGGGAGAGACTGAATGCTACAATTAGGGCTGCAGCTTTTGGGTGACATGCTCTATAAAAGTGTACAAATCTAGGGTGTTTCCCTCCCCCATGGCAAAACATGATTAACTTAAAGGGTAGCTGCAATGGACAGGATGGAATTGTTTTACACAAACCTTCAAAACGCACAGGTGTGTCTCAGGCTGCATCCGAATCTGTTGTCTAGAGCTAGGTCTAGGTCTTCACTCCATTAAAAGTACATGGAGATGTGCTGACAATAGACCTAGCCGTAGCTCTGGAAGCCCATTTCCGACATGGCCTTAGATTATCTCATTTTCAAACAGCATTTCAGTGTTTTGGGGTTTCGGTTTTTATGAGCACAACTGTGATGTACACAAGAAACTCCTGCTGTTGAAGACTTTGCTGGAAATTGGAATAAAGTTCTTTCCTTTTGGTGATTCACTGTTGTTTAAGTACATAGCAATAAGCAAGCAATTAACCTGTTTAAAGAAATGTTTTTGGTGAGTAAATTCTGGGTTCACAATTTGAGCACAAAATCCTTTGTAATGAACTAGCCTTACAATAAACTGTCCCTGGATGACATCATAACAATGTCAAGGCAAAGGTCATGGCCAAGACTTTTGCCTTCAAGCCTTAAAGCTAAGGCCAAGTCCCAAAAATCAAGCCACAAGGCAGCCTTAAGGCCAAGGCTCAGCATCAAAGCGCGACATGTACATCACTGGCATCGGATGCTTTGTATGTTTAGACTGATGTTTTCTCAAGCTGTGACAATTGGTTTCGACATGTCCCTTTCATACATCGAGAACGACTCAAATGAAATGCTTCCATATTTTTCAGATTTTTTTCCAGCATCCAATCATGCACTGCCACACTATTGGTAGCTTCCAACTGATTGGTTGAATGTAATGTCTTGCACCTATATGTATAGCCACACCCACTCATATGGAACATCGAAACCACTGTAACATTCATTTAAGTACAGTCTGCCACTAGAGTACAGCTACCTGTAGTACCTACATGTACTAGTGCCACAGTCACTTATGAGATTTATTTACTTACGCAATGTCTCTCACATCAAATTCCCAGTCTTGGTAATGGGCTCTTTTCCCCAGCATTGGTTCATCTACTGTTACCACCAGTGCTCTGAAGCCCGCTCTCTCGGCTCGTCTGATTGTTGCCTCCACTCTGAATCTGTCACGCAGAATGGTTAGCTGAAGTAACAAGGGCGTGTCGGGGGGCACAGAGGCTGCTACGTCCTCCAGAGTCCTGTTGGACCACATGCTGAGAATCATGGCAGATCCAACACTTGATATGCCTGGAAATAGCACCAAACACTTCATCACTACAGCCTGATACCAGAGAACCATGGTGTGATAGGGTAAATTTGATGACGAATATTAAGTTCAACCAATGTCATCCGAACTCCAGAGGTACGGTATCTAATCAATTTTTCGAACTAAGACTGAGTCATGGTTGCATTGAAGAGATTGCCATGCAACGAAACTGGTAAGGTTTATCCATTCAAAATTCCTTTGTGCACAGGAATATCAAATAAAGACAGTAGCTCCCCTGCAAGATGGGCCCTATGTGGGCATAAATTTTAGCCAGCAATTACAGCCTGGCCTAATATATGCAGAATCACAAGGTGGAAGTCCACAACATGATATGGTTGCTGTGCCATTGAGGAAGGACACTGTACAGGCATTGACAGGGCCGCTATTTAGGGTATGCACGTATTGAAGGTGCATGTACCATATTGGCGACATGATGTGAACACGATAAATCGATACCTAATGATTGTAAATGTTTCCCAATGAAGCTGTTTTCTTTATCGGGAATTGAGTCTTATTAGCTTTTAGTCTTCTGATGAGGGACTTGAGTTGAGTCGTTTGCTCCCACTTGAGTCAAGTTGAGTCATTTACCTGTTGCGAATTGAGTCAACTTGAGTGCAGTCATTGACTTCTGTCATTACACAATTCTGGTAAGTGTAAAGTAAAGTGAACCATCAACCTGAATACCAGTAACTGCCCTGGACTGCAGAAAGAGTGCATGGCAACCGATGGTAAATATGTGACACTGAGATTTCAAAAAGATGGTCAGGAACTTTGACTAGGGTTGTTTGTGAGGGACAGTAATATGTGCAGAATTGGTATAAAGAGGTGACTAGTGGTCAAACTACAGTCATTGCTAGAACTTGCATTAGGTATTTAAATCACCAATTTAAATCTTGATTTAAATCAAAATGATTTTTTTTGAAAAAAAATCATCTTGATTTAAATCAAAATGATTTTTTTGAAAAAAATCACTGATTTAAATCAATATATTTATTTTTGGAGGTTAAAAGGCAAAAAATTTTCAATTTTTGAACTTTTTTTACTGATTGGAAATGTTTGTAGGTTTTGCACACTTTGAACAGGAAATCCCTACTGCAGGTGGCCATCCCACCCTTCTTTACTGCCAGATCTATTTATGCAAACAGTGTTGGCAACTCACTCTGCTATAGTTTCAGAGTTTACAGACAACTGCACAGATCAGGACACTACGAACATCTAACAAAAGAAACACAGTACACTAACCATGAGCGTCCATTGTTATTGCACCGTGCTTCTTAGTTGTTAGATGTTCATAGTGGTATATGCACTAACTGCGACAAATTTGCAATTGACTGAAGCGATTAAGTGGAAAGTATGGCTTACATGTACATGTAGAACTTCACAAAATTAAATTCAACATTAGAGATTTCATGTAGCTTTACGAAAGTTGACGTGTGTGTTGAGTATAGGCATACCCCCCAGTGTTCAGTCAAGCGACAGGGATATAATTGTTCACTACTGTCATTTTGCACTTTATAAAAGTAACAAAATCCTCAAGTATCAATACAGCTGCTGATAGGACATGCTTAAAATCCTGGTATCACTGAGCTGAAAACCTGAGTTCAGGGGCCGGAACTTGGTTTTGTGGTAAATGGGAATTATGGCATGTTTCAAGTTACATGTAAAGCTTACCCTTAGCAGTTGCAACTTCTCCATCTTTGTGTGCAAAGCAGTGACAGGCTGTGGGAGACACCCCGACGGGGAACGCAAGACGATGACCAAGGATAGACGTGCTAGTGTCTCGTTGAGACACGTCCCTCAAACAACGAGGTCGAAGACGATACCTTTGTCCAGGAAAATTCGGTATTTTGGGGAAACAAACAGAAACAAACAAAAATGAAGAGTTAAAAAAAACAATTGCCCCACTAATACCACGCCTAATTCCACAACAATAGTTCTTGAATCATTTAATTTACAATGTATAAATTTTTCAGCCAATGTGGCCATTATCTTGAACCATGCTCACTTTAATAAGTAATCTACCAAGACCCACCTGGGATCACCACGAGTAATCTCAAGTACATGTACATGCAATTTATTAATCATGTTGACAAGAATATTCCGGACACACACATACCCCAGGGTAGAACAAAGGCAGACATGCTATGTGCCCCTTCAACTTTGTTGACTGGGCACTTTTACTTGCTGAACATGAGCACTCTCAAAGTCACCTTTAGGTGGTCTGTTCAGCACCAAGGGGTCCTACCTCTGAAAGGCCCGTGGATTGTCTCTCAGTGTCTGTTCGCCATCAGCTCCCGATCTGTAATATCCCCAGACAAAGTCAGACACGCCTGCCTTGAGGTATGGTTCAAAGTCCTCTACACAGACTGGCGTCGATGCCATGCTGAATTTGAACAGCCCAGCTCTTCTGGTTGAAGTTCCGGAAACTTCAATGTCGGCGGACAAAGTTAAATGATTCCCGCACACTCTAAAGGAAAAATTTAAGAAAAGGAAACAATTTCAAACATACACTGTACATGTAAATGTACATGCACCAGAATCATTAGGGGTTCTGAGCAAGATTGGCGAATTTAAATCACCTTGATTTAATTAAGTCATTGAAAACGACAATTTAAATCCATTCATTTTTGTTAAAATCACTGCTTTGAATCGGCATTCTGAATTTTTTCCTACCTACATTCATGTATTCAGCCTTGTATTTGTAATATTTCCAGGTGTCGCACATTTTAAATGGAAAAATCCCTTCTGTGAGCACTCCAGTATCAGCATTATACACTTTTTCGCAACAAGTGCACATGTATGTATTTTTAAAGCCGGGATTAGAAATGCTGGTTTTATGTAGTGAAATCAAAGCCAGTAAACAAATACTCCTAAAATTAAGTTGTAAAAAAGTGAGTTTCAATCAAGCCTGAGCACTGGCAGCAGAAACATGCAGATCATGTAAAATAAATACATGTGCATGTGATCTGCCATTTTTTCACACACTGGTAAAGTTCCTAGTACATGTAAGCCCTACATAAATTCCTGTAAACTCTAATTTTGTTGAAAGTTATACCAGGACTTTGTTCTCTCAGGGTACATGGGACACAATCTTTTATCTATCTGGCATTTATACGGTAAGTGACCTTGGGCTTACTGTGGTTTGTGATTTTAATCAAATGACTTGATTAAAATTTCTCAATTTGAATCAAATGTGTTTAATTTTCTATAACACAAGAAATAATAAACGAACATTTGACAAATACATGTACAGCCAAATTTGCTAAATTAAGCTGGTTGTCTCCAACATTTATGAAAGTAAAAAAAATTCTGATTTAGGCCTAAGACAAGTATACTTAAAAAAATATAAAATTAAAGAATCGGTTATACAGGGAGAGAGTTGTCTTGTGAACAGCCTATAATTAATATGAGGCTCTGGTTATGCGCAGAAAGAAATAAGATTTGTCGTCCCCGGTCCCACGAACGTAATATGGGGTTCATGGCCACGACGGCCAAACGGGACAAGGTTAACAACGTACTGTACATGTACAGCTCACCGGAACCACGCACGTTAGGCTGGCCCAAAGCTCCCGCTTGGACAACCGAATTGGTGACTCATAATTACTTTCTGCCGTACCATTCAGTGTATCACGACCTGATGCTGCTGTCGTGCCAGCAGTACCAAAAATATGTTTGCAACGAAGCCCAGAAAACGGACACAAGTTACACAACACAGCTA